CGTGGCCTCAATAAGGACTCCACCGAAGGTCCAGTGGGTGTGCCCCGCACATGCGTCCCGCACAAGACCGATTTTTCGGCACACCCCTCACACGTTTCGTGGCCCCATAGCGAGCTCCACCGTGAATGTCTCAGTGGTGTGCCCGCATGCGTTGTCCACTCCCGCACTCCCAATTCGGCACACGTTCGTGGCCTTAACAAGGAGCTCCACCGAAGGTCCCAGTGGGTGTGCCGCATGCGTCCCGCACAATACTTTCGTCGGCACACCCCTCACACGCTTCGTGACCCCCCATAGGGAGCTCCACCGAAGGTCCCAGTGCGTGTGCCCGCATGCGTCCCGCACACCCATTTCGGCACACCCCTCACCTGTTTCGTGGCCTCATAGGGAGCTCCACCGAAGGTCCCAGTGTGTGTGCCCGCATGCGTCCCGCACACTCATTTCGGTACACCCCTCACCCGTTCGTGACCCCATACGGAGCTCCACAGAAGGTCCCAGTGTGTGTGCCCGCATGCGTCCCGCACACCCATTTCGGCACACCCCTCACACGTTTCGTGGCCCCATAGGGAGCTCCACCGAAGGCCCCAGTGCCCGCGCCCGCATGCGTCAGCCACACCCATTTCGTCAACTCCCTCACACGTTTCGTGGCCGCATAGGGAGCTCCACCGAAGGCCCTAGTGGGTGTGCCCGCATGCGTCCCGCACACCCATTTCGGCACACCCCTCACACGTTTCGTGGCCCCATAGGGAGCTCCACCGAAGGTCTCAGTGGGTGTGCCCGCATGCGTCCCGCACACCCATGTCGGCACATCCCTCACACGTGTCGTGGCCCCATAGGGAGCTCCACCGAAGGTCCCAGTGGGTGTGCCCGCATGCGTCCCGCACACCGATTTCGGCACACCCCTCTCACGTTTCGTGACCCCATACGGAGCTCCACCGAAGGTCCCAGTGGGTGTGCCCGCATGCGTCCCGCACACCCATTTCGGCACACCCCTCACACGTTTCGTGGCCCCATACGGAGCTCCACCGAAGGTCCGAGAGGGTGTGCCCGCATGCGTCCCGCACATCCATTTCGGCACACCCCTCGCACGTTTCGTGGCCCCGCAGGGAGCGCCGCCGAAGGTCTCGGCACACCCTTCGCACGTTTCGTGGCCCCATAGGGAGCTCCACCGAAGGGGCGACCTGCGCGCGTCGCTGGGACTCCGCGCTGCGCTGCGCCCGCAGCTTTGGACTTTTGAGTGCGCGGGCACAGAGGGAGTAAAAGAAGGGGAGGGAGCGGGCGCGATCCTCGCGGTGGCGTCGCGGCGCGCGGGCGATGCCGTCGGGGAGTCCCGAGGGAGCTCCTTGCGGCGGCCACGCCCGGCGTCGCGAGTACTCAGAGGCAGTCGTTCACAAACTAGTAGCATTCATATACACTTGCACCGTGCATGGGCATGCTCGCATTCATGCACGTAGATTCGCTCGCACGCAGATTCATTCACAGTCAGACGCGCTCGCGCTCAGATTCGCCCGCGCTCAGTCTCCCTACGTGCTCAGATCAATCGTTTTCGCTCGCGTTGTGCACCGCGCCATTCATTTCGGCACGCCACTAGCACGGTTCGTTGCCCCATAGGGATCACCACCGAAAACGGGAATCACAATTGCGGTACTCACACCTGCATATGGTTGGGTCCTTCGTCTGGCTAATTTTTTGATAAGCCCCGACATGTAATGACCAGAGGGTGAGCACATGCCATGGGATGGATACGGTTTAATGTTCTACCAGAGGCTCTCGACGGGCATGTCCCCTACGTATTGCGGGCCACAGCTATTGGTAGTATTGAGAATTCTTTACCTGAGAGGTTGATGGAGAGCCAGCCCATTTCAAACGGGGTTGTCTCGTTCACCCTCTTGTTTCTGTTGTGTTCGCTCTTTCTGTCGTTTGTTTGTTATTCCTCTCTCTCTCTCTTTCTCTCTCTCTCTCTCTCTCTCTCCTGTTTGTATTACATATATGTTTGTTATTTGTATTTCCCAACCATCCTGTGGTGTTGGGTCCTCGTTTTGAAGGGACGGTGCCCCGCGTCTCCTTCCTCCCGCTGCCTCCTCCCTCCGCCCTCCATCATCATCGTCATCATCCCCCATTTCGGCACACCCCTCACACGTTTCGTGGCCCCATAGGGAGCCCCACCGAAGGCCCCAGTGCTGCCGCCCGCATGCGTCCCGCACACCCAATTCGGCACACCCCTCACACGTTTCGTGGCCCCATAGGGAGCCCCACCGAAGGCCCCAGTGCTGCCGCCCGCATGCGTCCCGCAAACCCAATTCGGCACACCCCTCACACGCTTCGTGGCCCCGCCTCGAGGTCCTATACCTGAAGGCCCCATGGGCACCGCCCGCATCTCTTCCGCACTACCCAATTCGGCACCCCTCCACCCTTTCGTGCCTCTTAGGGAGCCCCAGACCGAAGGGCCCCCCAGTGCTTGCCGCCCGCATGCGTCCCGCACCCAAATCGGCACATCCCCTCACACGCTTCGTGGACCCCATAGGGTGCCCACCGAAGGCCCCAGTGCTGCCGACTCGCATGCGTCCCCGTCCCCCGAACAACTAGTCCCCAAGTTTGGCACCACCCCCCTCACACGCTTCGTGGCCTCCATTAGGAGCCCCACCGAAGGCCCCAGTGCTGCCGCCGCATGCCGTCCCCGCACACCCAATTCGGCACACCCGCAAAAAAACTTACAAAACGCTTTCGGGCCCCATAGGGAGCCCCACCGAAGGCCCCAGTGCTGCCGCCCGCATGCGTCCCGCACACCCAATTCGGCACACCCCTCACACGTTTCGTGGCCCCATAGGGAGCCCCACCGAATGCCCCAGTGCTGCCGCCCGCATGCGTCCCGCACACCCAATTCGGCACACCCCTCACACGTTTCGTGGCCCCATAGGGAGCCCCACCGAAGGCCCCAGTGCTGCCGCCCGCATGCGTCCTGCACACCCAATTGGGCACACCCCTCACACGTCTCGTGGCCCCATAGGGAGCCCCACCGAAGGCCCCAGTGCTGCCGCCCGCATGCGTCCCGCACACCCAATTCGGCACAGAACCAACAGAAACCCCCCCCCCCCCCCCCCCCCCCCCCCCCCCCCCCCCCCCCCCCCCCCCCCCACAGCCCCCAACCACGACGCTTCGCCGTTTCGTGGCCCCATAGGGAGCCCCACCGAAGGCCCCAGTGCGTCCGCCCGCATGCGTCCCGCACACCCAATTCGGCACACCCCTCACACGCTTCGTGGCCCCATAGGGAACCCCACCGAAGGCCCCAGTGCTGCCGCCCGCATGCGTCCCGCACACCCAATTGGGCACACCCCTCACACGCTTCGTGGCCCCATAGGAAGCTCCACCGAAGGCCCCAGTGCTGCCGCCCGCATGCGTCACGCACACCCAATTCGGCACACCCCTCACACGTTTCGTGGCCCCATAGGGAGCCCCACCGAAGGCCCCAGCGGCGGTGCTCACATGCGCATGCGTCCCGAACACCCATTTCGGCACATACCTCACAGGTTTCGTGGCCCCATCATCCACCGGAGGCCCCAGTGGCGGCGCTCACATGCGTCACCCACACCCACCCAATTCGGCACACCCCTCACACGCTTCGTGGCCCCATAGGGAGCTCCACCGAAGGCCCCAGCGGCCGCGCTCACATGCGTCCCCGCCACCCATCCCGGCACGCCCCTCACAACAACAGGTTTCGTGGCCCCATAGGGAGCTCCACCGAAGGCCCCAGTGGCACCGCCCGCATGCGTCACCACCCGCACCCAATTCGGCACACCCCTCACACGTTTCGTGGCCCCATAGGGAGCTGCACCGAAGGCCCCAGTGGCGGCGCTCACATGCGTCCCCACCACACATCCCAGTACACCCCTCACGCGCTTCGTGGCCCCATAGGGAGCTCCACCGAAGGCCCCAGTAGCGGCGCTTACATGCGTCTCCGCCACCCATCCTGGCACCCCCCCCGCAGCAGCATCATGCTTCGGGGCCCCATAGGGAGCTCCACTGGAGGCCCCAGTGGCGGCTTCACATGCGCTTCCGCCACCCATGTCGGCACGCCCCGCGCGTGTTTCATGTCCCCATAGGGAGCTTCGCCGAATGCCCCAGTGGCACCCATCTCGACACACCCCTCACACGTTCCGTAGTCCTATGGGGAGTTCCACTGAAGATGAAACCCGTAGCTGCGGTACTGACAACTGCATATGTTTGGGTTCTTCGCCAGGCGAATTTCTTACTCGTAATAATAAGTATGTTGTATATGCTTCTCTCTTTTTTCTCTTTCTCTCTCTCTCTCTCTCTTGCTCGCATGAGTGACGCGCACATGGGGCGTTTTCTTGAAACGTGGCGAATCCTGCAATGAAGTGGTTTGCTTGTACGGGCTTTCGAGGAGGAAGTGTGTTGCAGCATAGTTGTTGCAACCTGGACTCACGACGTGGCCACGAGGACGCTCCACGATGCCAGCAGTGGGGTCAAAGGCGAAGTCAGGTCATCGTTCGGTACGGCCGAGCCCCTTCAGCTGCACGAAGGCGAGGCCCGAACACTGACTCAGCTGATCGCTAGCCGTGGCCCTGAGACGATAACTCCACCGAATGCCCAGGTCATCGCTCGGGCATGCGACGACGGTGGTGACGCGGACGACGCCGACGACGACGGCGCGAACGGTGACTACGACGACGACATCGACGACGACGACGACGACAAGATGACGACGATGATGGCGACGATGACGGCGATGACGACGACGATGATGACGACGACGACGCCGACGACGACGACGAGCGAGGACAAGGAGTGAGAAAGGGAGGGTGGAGAATGTGGAGGAGGAGGAGGAGGAGGACGAGATGGACGACGATGACGACGACGACGAGGACGACGCGAACGACGACGACCGCGTCGCTCACGACGCGGACGACGCGGACGACGCAGGCGACGGCGCCGACGTGCGGGCCAGGCGCCGCACCATGGGACCGGTCAATGCCGGGGCGTTCATGGAGGGCGCGGCCGAGTCCACGGTGCTCGACGCGGCCCGCGATGGCGAGCAGGTGGGGCGCCGGGAGGGAGAACAGGTCTGACACAAATACGTTGGCATTTTTCGGGGCTCTCGGAGCCCAGTCTACAGGCGGACTCGATCGGACAGGACACACGAGAGGGCACGAGACCCTCCCGAGGGCCACGTTGCCACAGGAATGTCGGAAGCATGGGTCGCGAGACACAGGGCACAAGGGTACCCTTGATTTGGCAGGGTCGGTCTAGTCTACAGTCGGCCCTTGGGGCTCTCATATCCAAGTCTACAGTCGGCCCAGATTAGTAGGTCGACCCTGCCAAATCAAGGGTACCCTTGTGTCCTGTGTCTCGCGACCCATGCTTCCTACATTCCTGTGGCAATGTGGCCCTCGGAAGGGTCTTGTGTCCTCTCGCGTGTCCTGTCCAATCGAGTCCGACTGTACTTCAAGCCCCTTCCTAGTTCAAGGGTCGAGCGGTTTCACCTCTTCGCAGTGCAGGAGGCGGACGGAAACCCAATCTGCTTCAACGCCTCCCTACTCCATGTTTCCACGCACTTCCTCCGACGGGTAATCGTCGATTCCCATGCAAAAAAAATATGGTAAGTGGATGGGAAGACGGAGCTTCAGAAAGCATTTGGAAACATGGGGCAGCCGCCGCGCCGCCGCCGCCGTCGTCGTCGGCAGCGTTCGCCCTCATTCGACTGCACGTCAGAGTGATCCTTCGCCGGAGGGACCTTTGGTGGTCCCGCTGGGGCCCCCCCGCATATCTGCACGCGATGCGACAGCAGCGGCCTGCGAGTTTGGGTCTGGCCCACCCGCGCCCCCGAACATACAGTCGGGTCGCTGAAGAAGGAACCCTTTTCGTTGGGGAGGGGCTCCGTGTTCCTTTATTGTTTCACAGCTTGCCTCAGGTGTTCCTTATCTTCTCGATGGGAAATCGAAGTTTAACTTATGGAGGAAAGGGGCCGCGTTCCTTTTTGAGGGTTCCTTAGGTCAACGCCCCGACTGTAGGCGCACCAAAGGTCACTCTTGCCTAGGGCCTAGGGCCACTCTGTCGTGCAGCCGACCGTTCTAGTCGGGGGTGGACAGACCTCCTACACTGACACGTCGACTGAGGAATTGGCCGTTTTCGGTTCGCGAGGGGGCGTCGCGGCCGTCGTTTTTGCGGGTCCAGGTCCGTCGGTTTCGGCCCCAGGCCGTTTTCATGAAGGGGAGGTCTGCTAAGGGGAGGTCCACCGCCGATCTAAGGTGGTAGGGCGCCAGGTCGAGAGCAGGCAGCCCCCCCCAGTAGTCCAGGCCGGCCTCCACAGAGGAGGGAGGAGGAGGGAGGAGGGAGGAGGAGGAGGGAGGAGGAGGGAGGAGGAGGAGGAGGGAGGAGGGAGGAGGGAGGAGGGAGGAGGGAGGAGGGAGGAGGGAGGAGGGAGTAGTTGGAAGGGCCCACCGAGCGATCTTAGTTGTTCTGGTCTCAGCATCCTGTCGCCGTCGCCTGCGCCACCCCTTGTGGCGCTCCGCGCACCGGGGCTGGGCGGTTGAGACTACACCCTGGGCGATGCGTACGAAAACTTAAGTGTTCGGCCAGAGTCTCGATGATATTTAATGTTTCGATGTAGATCCTAAGGTTTCAATAGAAATTCTGGGTTTTTGTTATTCAAATGCTGAGACTATCAATTTCTTAACCAATGATTTCTAAAGCATTTCGCAGGGTGTACCTGAGGGCGCTGCCTGCGCACAACCCGAAGCCTTACCGGTCGACGCGGGGGCGGGAAGCCGTTGTCGGTTCGCGAGTCGTGGTTCGCGAGTCCTCCTCCTCCTCCTCCTCCTCCTCCTTTGCTTCCCGGGGCGGCTGCAGCCTCCTTCCGCCACGTGTGAGTAGCAGCATCGTTCGTGTGCGCCAGCCTGAATAGCCAACAGGACAGGATCATATTGCACAGGTTCGTAGACGCTTACACCAATCACTGTAGTCATACCTTTTGGCACACAGCCCCACGCGTCGAAACAAAAAAAGGAGTCGCCTCGGGGGGCGGCGCGAGAGCGCAGAGTTATTCGCGAAGTGCGGACACAGTTTCTCTTGCACCTGGCGACTACAGTGGGTGTTGTTACGCCAGGGTGCGGCTGAAGATGCCGTCGGCGTTTTCGTTTGGGAGGGGCTCGGTGTTCCTCGATTGCTTCGCAGTTTGCCTTGGGTTGCCCTGAGGTTTCCCATGGGGAATCGAAGTTCAACTTATGAGAAAAAGGGGCCTCGTTCCTTGTTTAGGGTTCCTTAGGTCAACGCCCCGACTGTATGCGGTTTGGGGACTCCGGGGGCACCGCGTCGCGCCAGAGGCTTGGCCAGCCCTCGTCTGCGCGCGGCGGAGATCTTTGGCAAGGCCCTCGCCCGCCCCCCAGGGCGCGGGGTAAAAACCGCACCCTGCGCCGCGCACGCTCGCGCACGCCGAAGGCACTTCGGATGTGCCTTCGGGGCGGCGCAGGGCCCGACACAAAAATATCGGCGCTTGCGTGCCAGAACGTTTTCCATCGCGGAGCTGGGCGCCCTGGCGCGGGCGGTCGAACGACCCCTGCAGCGGGACACCTTGGCAACACGGCTGCCGCCGCAAAAATTGCTCGTTTAACGCTGGTGCCGCGCAAAGGCGACGCCGGCCGCCGAACAGCCAACCACACCTGTCGGAGTCGCCGACCGAAGGCCTTGCAGGCTCCTCTCCAACCGACGCGCTGGGATAGAGCCGGACGAGTTGGTGAGCCGATGCAGCAGTTCGACGTAAGCCCAGATGGATGATCCATCCGGATTTTCTTCCACTTTCTCCCTTCCTCTCCTCTACCCATACTTCCAAATGTTGTTTCTCCGCTGCCCACACGTACCACTCCTACATCAATGGTGTCGCTTTTCTTTTCCTTTACTCCTACCTTCATCCTCTTGCTGTTCAGCCTTTGAATTTCGATTCGGCTAAAGGTCGGCTGTCCGTAACACCGTACCCTTTATAGGTGCACCGAGGTATATCCCATGGCAGAGAAATTTGAATCAATCGTGGGCGATCCAGCGCGAGCCGGGGAATAATAACTATATACATATACATATGTCCTAAACGGGTCATTATTTCCCTCGTCGTTATTATCTTCGTCGCTGCGGCCGTCGATGTCCAAATTTTATGATTTGTGGAGGGAGGGCACAGGATCTGTCCTCAAGATTTTCATGATTCTGTTGGTCTTCCTGGGGCGCCCCCCCCGTCACCATGGCCAGGCCCGCCGCGAGATTGGGGTCACAGAGCCGCGCCCCGCTGCCGGTCTGGCCCGTCCCCGAAGGCCTTCGCAGGCCTTCGGAATGCCAAGACTCTTGCAGAGACGGTAAACTGTCCACCTCTCATTATGCAAGAACGACCGGACCGACAGCATTGAAGCATATGCACAAAATTCAAAGCTTCAGACAGCAAGGGCATCGTAGTTGAGATGTTTTTTTTTTTTTCATGTTCGGCGATCAGGGGTGGTATTCTTTTGATGTGCAGATGTATCATTAGCTTGAACGCCCCAGCCAGCGTTGGCAGAGTGGAGACGTGCCGTGGTCAAAGCCATGTTCAAACATGGGAGCGGGAACTTTCCGCAAAGCGTTTAGGCCCATCAACCGCTTACTTTCATTACGCCAGTTTTTGTTCGCGACTGCTACAACCATGACTTATGCCGTTTTGGGGCAAAAAGCAGAGCAATGGCCTGGCAGGTATACGCTTTATCCGGTATACCACAAGTCATAATTTGCTTGTTTCGTTTTGAAAATTTAGGGGTCTTGGAAGCGGAGTGCGAACCGTGTGTAATGATATGTCTTGACGCGGTGCATTTGACCGTCAACAGCATAATGCATTGAGGCGCATGGGATACTGTTGCTGACCAGGGGGCCGAAGAAGGATACAGCTGTTTCTTCGAGGTTACACCGGGAATAAACAGTCAATTCGACAACCGATCCCTCCAGCAAGGAATACCAGTTACAGCGTGGGGTCGGGTAGAACAGGGCGATCTTCGCAGCGCCTCTTCATCGACAGCGTCTTCGAACATGCCACCAATCAGGTAAAGGCGAAGAGGAACACATCAAACGTTGTGGTGCTGGTGATGTCAAACATGCACTGGCTTACACCTATTAGCTTTGTTGATGACCGTTTACGTTGTGCGAAGTCCCTGCGACACGTGAAGCAGATGATCGGGAATGCGCAGGGCCCTTCGAGGAAGGTTGGTTTGGTACTGCAACTCAGACAGGCGAAAATACGCCACCACAGCTGTGGCGCCATACGCGAAGACCATAACTCAACAAATATAGACGTCAACGGCATGGACACTGAGATCTGAACCGTGTCAGGGCATGCCACTACCTCGATTGAGAATTGGGTCGGTCCGATCTGCAGACTGTTGCACTTGATATCAGGATTGCTGCGGCTTGGAGAACGTGCTATTCATTAAAGCAGGTTCTGGTTGGGCGTCCGTACTTGCTGGAAGGAGGCCTGCGTTTGTTTCATGGGTTTCTTCCGCGGATCGGGTTCTACAATTGTGATGCGTGGAGTATGACAGCGGGACTTGACAACGGAGTTCGCAGCATGCAAACGCACATGTTGATAATGACGATCTGAGCGCCACGCCGCAAAGTGAAAGCAATGCAACACCAACATGCAGCGACGACAGAGTGACCGACGCTGGAGACTACTGGGGGCAACTGTCTCGATCAACACAACGGCAGGATGATATCGGACCATGGCTACACTAGGTCAAATGCAGCACGGAAAGACGTGGTGGAGGAACACACCGATTTTTGCACACGGGTGATTGGATCGCGCAGCGACGTCAAGGAACAGAGCGACGGATCGCAACAGTTGCATGCAAGGCGCCCGTGTGCGCGATGCGATTGGCCGTAGAAGTGCCGGCACGTAGAGACGCCCTCACCGACCAACGCGTCGATGGATAAACGGCAGTCTTCACTGCAGTCCAAATTTGGCATGCAAGACTCCTGAAGAGCAGGCCGCCTTTGCAGACGCTTGCGGGGCGCAAGACGCATGTGCCACACGCGATGCATGGAGCACTCCAGATCAGTATATTTGCCAGGCGCTCATAAATATACACACTTATATATGTATCCATATGTACATGTATGCATAGGTAGATAGATCGATATGTATATCTATATTTAATTATATATATATATATGCGTCGGTCGTTGTGGCCCCAGCCCGCGGCACCCACACGGCGAGCTATGCGGGCCGCAGTCGCAGTGTGGATGGCCTCGGGAGGTCTCGAGAGAGGCCCTTTTCGGAGGACTCTTGACGGATTCCACGGGGCATCCGGAAGACTCTCGAGACTTCCCGAGATTGCCAAGGGCTTCGGGCTCTGTCGAAGGAACATCCGCTTGTCGCCGTCGTCGTCGCCATCGCCGTAGGCGACGGTCTCGTGGACCTCGTCGTCATCGCTTCGGATCTCTCGGGCCTCCTCGGTGCGCCCGCCCTGCTGGTGTGCGGACGTCGTCGTCTTCGCCACTGCCGCCGCCGCTGCTGCCGGCCTTTCGCGACCTTCGCAGACGTTCGAGGGCCTTCGGAGGGCCTTCGGAGAGGAGGACCCTCGGAGGCCTTTGAAAGCTTAGTTGCCTCGATACGCCCGTTTTGAAACGCAACACGTCCCGTGTTCAAGACGTCCGTGTCAATACGTTGCGTATTAGCGCCACGTATTGGACCACGTTTTGGCGAACATATCGCGTCGGACCTACGTTTTCACCTTACGTGTGAGCTCCGTATCAACACGACACGTGTTCCGTGTTGCGTACCGGGGCAGTTAAGTTGGAAAGGTTTCTTCGGGTCTTCGGGGAGCCTCGGCTCCGCCAGTCGGGGTCGTCGCTGTCGTCTCGGAAGTTGTTGGGCATCCTGGAGGGTCGTCGTGGCCAGACTGGCCCCCAGCAGAGATCGGTTTTTGGTTGGTGTTGGTCGGTGGGGCCAGGGGGCAGGCTTTTTGGGGGGAGGCATCTCGCCTCGCAAAGGCTCTCCCGCGATCCCTTCTGAGAAGCCCTCTGCGGTCCTGGACGGCCGCTCCAACTCGCCCACCCGCCGAGCAAGATTCGCTCTGCACGGGTCGAGCCCTCCCCCGGCCGATCCTGTTTCTCTTCCGAGCAGCCAGCTGTGGCCACGAGAACCTCCAGACGCGTCCAAAACAGCCGAGACGATGAAGCCGTTGACAGCGACGACGTCGTCGCCGACGACGCGGGCGTCGCCAGCCAGGGGAAGCAGCAGAGCCAGATGGTGTCCATCGCGCAGGGCATAAGGATTCCATCCCGATCTCCGGCGCCTGTGTCACAAGAGCTTGCGACGTGCGTGTTTGCTTCCCCCCACATCCCAAGGCCGACAACGCATATCGTGCTGGCGTGAAGTCCCAGCCTGGAACAGATCCCTGTCCTTCTGATCGGCATCGCCTCATCTCGAAGCGATCTTGAAGATTCCCTCAGTCTCCGAGGGCACATCCATGATATTGCCATCTCATTTTGGCTTGTCAATATGATGGATATCGGTGCCACCCCAACATACTGCTACTGTGTTCGCGTCGTCGCGCGCGCCGAGAAATCTTATAGTACATGCTCTGTGGCGGACGCTTTCTGGCCACACCGCTCGGGAAATGACATGTTACAAGAGGGATGTACTAGACGTCCGGGTCGGACGCACGCATCCGAGAAGCACATGCAGTACAAGTATGCCCTTTTGCGTCCTAGCATAGGGATAAGTTCGAGGCTGGTTCATACCACCTCGAGTTCGGCCTCTGGGGCGGCCCGTTTCGGGCCCCCTGGCCGTCAACGAACAGACGGTCCAGAAGAAGAGACCAGCTTGCGGGGAGTGGTCGAGAGTTCCTAGTGCCCTTGGTGTGAATAGATCGCGATGGTTGAGGTCCTGAACGCCTACAGTCAACCCCTACAAGAAGGATGCGCGGTGAGGATACATGGGCCGTGGAAGTTTTGGGCGATGCTCTTCGAGCGGGGCTGGCCATCGAAAGTGGTTGAGGATGAACCGAAGATTACCGAAGAGGCAAGGATGCAAGGGTACCCTTGGGAAGACGATTATCCTTACAATGCGGGTTGACTGTAACCCATTGGGCATCTCAGCCGGGATCATCTTACTTCCTCTCCTCCTGCAGGAAGCCGTGGCACGAGTGCGCCGAGCACCGAGCTTGCCGTTCGTCATGTGGGGGGTTGGGGCAGGTGTGCACCGCGCAGGCGCACCGTCACTTGCAGGTAGCATGATGCGAGCTGCATACGAGCTCTTGGGGGGGGAGGTCGGCGGTGGCATGACGCGCGACACTCCACTTTTAGAGCGCTCTTGCAGGCGTTCATCTTCCTCCTGCTCCTCCTTCATGTTTCGCCCGACCCACATTCAACAACACAGCTCGTTGCGCATTCCTGCTCTTCCTCCACCTCACCCTTTGAATGTAAGACGACTGCCAGCTTGGACCCCGAGCAGTAGTCTCTATCATTCCGAGGTGCAAGCCAAGGGGCACCCCGTACAGAGAATCGGGGCGGCTGCTGGGTATGGCAGCAAAGTGAACGTCATAGTTTCTTCACCCCCACCTGCATGGCGTATCCCGCGTGATTTCTTCGAGGCGCTTCACAGCAGCGTTCTACTTTTTTACACGCGTTGCCATTTCATGTTGCGTGTCTTGGGTGTGTGGTCTTGTTACATGTGTTGTTTGTATGTGGGTTGTCCCGTCGTGTGCTGTGCCCGATTGTGTTTCATGTTTCTACGTATGGGTACAAATGGTATTGCTGATGGATGTTAGCGTTGGCAGTTCTAGACGTTTGCCCTGGGTGCATGTTCATGATGCGTGTCGTTGGTTCCTGCTGCAGGTGTGCGCTCTTGATGTCTGTTCCTGACATCCTCCACATGTCTGTGGTCGGCGTAACGCCGTGACCCCTCCCTGTAGAGGCACGGCGAGGTCGGAGTCTCATGGATTCTCGGTGGCTCTTTGGGCCTGGAGGCCGCGGTATACAGGATTGGCGAGGCGGGATTTTCAGGGACACTCGGAGATTATGTAGGCCTGGCGGGCACAGTATGCATCCCTGGCGGGCGACCCTGTTTTAACATATTTGACAGCCCCGACCCCTCGGGCGTGGAAAATCACGACGTCGGTGGTCTGATGATGTCTGCGCTCAGCCCCGAGCCTCGCCGACCAGGAACAGAGTTGACGCCCTCACGTCCGGCCGGCTGCACAACCGCCACATCGACGACGGCGACATGTCGATTTCGCCCGCGGCGAAGCATACCGCGGCGCGCGGGAGAGTAGTTTTCGTCGGCGGGGAGCTTTCCGCGGACAGCGGCTCGGATGAGCCGCCACCATCCCATTACAGCTCCGACGGCTGGGACGAGGACTCGTCGGGTCTCATGGTTGGCCGCTCCAAGTCGACTTCGTCGCGTGGGCGCACAGGCCAGCTTCTAGAGAGGCTCAATATCGAGCAGCGGATTAGCCTCTGTACCGAGTTGGACGCTTGGTTCCAGCTCCACCTGAAGTTCGCGTCACAGAGGATCGAGAACTTCAATAGTAGAGAACTGGCGAGGGACACAGTGCAGAGCGACTTCGACGTGGCCCTGAAGGACGTCCGCGATGGGGCGGGCGCCGCGGAAGTGAGATCGGTGCTGAAGGCGAAGCAGTTCAAAGACAAGATCCAGAAGTATCAGCAAGGACTCGAGAAGTGGCGAAGCGCCCTGGTTTGCCTATAAGCCAGCCGAAGAATGTTCTAAGAACCTTGTGTTGCCTGCACGAACTGTTATCGGAACATGTCCGGCCGAGAGGGCCGTGCTATCACTCATTCGCCGTGTGTTCTAAGAGCATTGTTGTTGGTGATTCGAATTTTGCTGGTTCTAAAAACATGAAATGGTAGGCCCGTAGGCATACCAGGACGGTCGGTCCCTGCTCAAAGGACTGCGCAGGAGAGCGCGCGAGGCTGCCCTGTCGGAGGCCCGGGAGAAGGCTGTCGAGACGGAGAGCAAGGCGGCTAAGGCCAAGGCGACCGAGGCGATGGAGCAGGCCGGCGGCAGAAGACAATGGCTCAGCCGCGTGTGGGAGGCGGTGTCCTGGCAAATGAAGGACGGCGAGGGGAACGACACAGCATGAACACAATTCGAAGAGACAAAACGCAATAGACAAACCTCTGCCGTTTCGCGCGGATTTCTTGGATCCGCGCTGGGGCCCCCTGGCGGCGCCTACGGCGCCGCCCCTGGCGCGTTCGGTGCGATAGGGAGGGCAATCCAGCGCGGATCCAAGCAATGCGCACGGAGCGCCAAAAGTGTATGGTTATGTCTTCTCCTTCTTCTCATCATGTCTAGGAGGTCCGCGTAGATTTCTTGGATATGCGCTTGACGCCTCTGGCGGCGCCCCCGGCGCCGCCGCTGGCGCGCTGCGCGCTGAAGAAGGATGTTCAGCGCCGATGCAAGATGTCCGCGCGCATCATTGAGAAAGTATGTTTATGCCGCTTCTTGTTCCTCTTAGGACGGGATGGAAAAGGGCATTTGCAGCGAGGTGACGGTACGCGTGGTGGGGGCGATGGGTTTGCGCGAGCAGTCGGCAGAGCAGAGCGACCAGTTGTACTACACCTGCCTTGTCCGAGGCAAGCCAGAGACGCGGTTCAAGGTTCCAGTCGGTGAGGCCTCGTCTCAGGCGGAGTGGTTGGAGGGAGTGGACATGATTGTTTTCGGGCCCACTGACAGGACGCTGGAGATCAATCTCCACGGGAAAGACGACGAGATTCTAGGTTTCGCCTACCTCGGCAGGAGTCAATTCATCGATCTGGAGGACTATTGGGCTGGTCCGCTGCTGGTGTGCAACAATTTTGGGGATCCTCTCGAAGGTCAGCTGCAGGTTGAGGTCGTATCGCGGCAAAAGCAGTACGACGTGCTCACTGCCCAGGACCTGCTGCACATACTGTCCGAGCAGCAGGATGAGGTCGCGGATCTCACAGAGAGACAGGCCAGGATGAACCACAGGTGCGATGTCGCTCTGAACGTTTTGGGCTACGTCCAGGACAAGCACTGGAACGCTCAGAACACGGATTCCGTACCTAGGAAGTTGAACGTCCTGGACGCTGCTGGCGTTGATTTTCTGGAGGAAGCCAAGAAGCAGGCGATCTTGCAGAATCTAGATGAGCACGTGAAGACCAATCCCCAAACCTGGTACAAATTGATGAAGCGTATCGAAAAGGAGGAGGCTGCGAAGCGTATCGAGAGCAAGGGAGCTCGGACGAATGATGAAGATTCTCCGGCGGAAGAGCACTATGTGCTCAGGAGGGAGATAGAGGACCTGATCGCCCTGCAGGACATGGCAAGCATGAGTGCGAGGGCAGCCGCCGCGGTAGATCTCGCGATCCATAAGGGTAAGGTCACCCTCGCGGAGGAGATACCCCGGGACCCTGAAGAGGAGAAGAAGAAGGAGGAAGAGGCCAACCAGGAACGCGCTGGCGAACTGGCGCTTCAGTCGATCAAGGCGCTGCGAAGGCTGAGGAACAGGACAGAGCAGATCACTGCCGAGTCCGAGATCACCCAGGCTCGGCGGCGCGCACAAGGGCGTGGCGCCAGGGGGGCGGCCTTCTAAGGATGCCGGGGGGGTCCCAAGAAGGCAGCGGGACTCCTTGGAAGCCGCCCCGGCTTCTGGGAAGGCGTCTTGAAAAAACCTCTGGGCCCTTCGAAGAAGCCGCTCGAGCTTCTAGGAAGCCCCGGCGCATCCTGAGAAGGAAGCCCACCCCCTCGCCACACGCGCTGGTGCGCGCCGCCAGAAGATGTCCAAGAGCAAGTCCATTACCGCGGTCGGACGGCCCCTCGAAGGGCCGGGAGGTCCCGAGGCAGCCCAGACGATCTGTGCTTCACACTCGCGAGGGGTGGCCCACCCTGACCGGCTCTTTGGCCTTTGGGGGCCCATGGCTTCCGCAGATCGCGGCCTCTGTCCGCGACGTGGGCCCACCCGAGTTCTGGAGCCCTTCCCCAGGGCCGGCCTGGGGATTCTGGCTTGATTCTGGCTCGGGGGGAGGAGAAGCGATACCAACACCACCAGGGGGCCCACCTCAAGCGAGGAGGTCCACGATGCCTCCCCGAGCTGGATGCTGGGGATGTCTCGAGCGGCTCGAGAGGGGGGGACCACACCACCAGGGAGACTCCCCTTGCCTCCGCGCACCTCCTCGCCCTGCTGGTGTTGGTGTCGCCTTTCCTTGCTCCCAGCTGACGGTCCCTGCAGGGCTGGGGACGAGCTTTCTGCTCGATAGCCTCCTGAGGACACATCGGCCGGTCTGGAGCTCCGAGGCGAAGGGAGTCCGGGTCCTCGGAGCTGCCCAGCGGTCTCCGGAGGCCCCCACGGATCCAGGTCTCGTGGGGTCGCCGAGGGCCTCTGGAGACGGGCGGAGGCCTGCGGAGGCCCGACAACGTTCGAGGCCGTCCAAAATCTGGAGTTCGGCCGCGCGCAGAAGGGGGCAAGGGGGAAGGGGGAAGGCTGCTGAGGAGCAGCCTCCTGCTAAGAAGTTCCCCCCGGCCCCCCTTACCCCCCCATCTGCGCGCCGCCAGACCGGAGGCGTTCGCCCTCCTCGATTTCATCTGGCCTTTCCTGGGGCGTGTTCTGCCCAGGATCTCGGGGTGGCCCCGGCCGCGGCGACGAGGTGCCCCGTCGGACGCTCCCACGGCCGAAATGCAACAGGGTCGACTGCGCCGCCATTGGCGCGTGAGCTGCCCGCAGAGGGTCGCGCGGAAGCGCCCTCGTCTCCGTTGTGGCGAGCCGCGCTGGTGGGCCGCGTAAGCCGCGGCGTAAGGTCGCCATGCCATCTCGCGTAAGACCCATGTCTTTGCGTCGCTCGCAGGAAGCTCCTGGATGTTGCTCGCTCCCGGTATCTCCTCGGGGACTATTGCCAGAGGAGATTGCTGCCCAAGGGTTCCCTCCTGAGCCCGCTCGGCGTCTGAGCCCGCTCTGCCGCCGAGTGGGTAGCCGAACGGGCTCACTCCGACGATGCTGGCGGGCATCGGGCCCGCTCTGGCGAAAGGCAAGAGGTACGACACCGTTACGCCCCTGACCTCTCCCAGGGTGCGTTCCGACCTGAGCTCCGAGGCGAACCTCGCGGTGGCATCCAGGGCTTCCCAGGAAAACGGGCGACGGGCAGCGGGCGGCGGCCCTCTCCTCCCCTGGCCTCTGCGGCCGAGTGGGCTCCATCCTGGGCCCGCTCGGCGGCCCAGCCGTCCAGAGGGGGGCCCAGCCGTCCAGAGGAGGAGGAGGAGGAGGAGGAGGAGGAGGAGGAGGAGGAGGAGGAGGAGGAGGAGGGGGAGGAGGAGGAGGGAGAGGAGAAGGAGAAGGAGGAGGAGGAGAAGGAGGAGGAGGAGGAGGAGGAGGAGGAGGGCCCGCTCGGCGGCCCAGCCGTCGAGGGGGGCCTCGTGGGTGGGGTGCCTGGCTGCGCCGGGGCCCCCGCCCACCACCCGGAGCGCGGGGGTCGGCCGACCGCGGGCGCGTGCCAGCGGCGCCCAAGAAGCCCCAGGGGAAGGTGATGCGCAAGGCGCTGAGCGGCCGGGCGGCCGTCAGCGCGCTGGGCGGCGGAGGTTTCGGGGCGATCGGAATGGTGCAGGCCTCCCAAATAAGAATAAGAATAATAATAATAATAAGAATAAGAATAAGGAATTCAACTGCAACGATCGAAATGGTCCAGGCCTCTCAGATTGGGTCGGGGTAAATTGTGTCGGAGGATCGCGCCGCGATCTCTGCGCCGGCGTCGCCGGTGCGCCGCCGACGTCGCCGATGCACTGGCGACGCTGTGCAACTATTCGGCCCCATCTTCTCGAATCCACCAGGAATCCATCACCAATCGCAGATTAAAACTTCATGTCATGGGTACCAGTCTTATTATGTTGATTAGTGCCGTTTGACGACGACTACTACTACTACTACTACTACTACTACTACTACTACTACTACTACTACTACTACTACTACTACTAGTACTACTACTACTACTACTACTACTACTACTACTACTACTACTACTACTACTACTACTACTACTACTACTACTACTACTACTACTACTACTACTACTACTACTACTACTACTACTACTACTACTACTACTACTACTACTACTACTACTACTACTACTACTACTACTACTACTACTACTACTACTACTACTACTACTACTACTACGACTACTACTACTACTACTACTACTACTACTACGACTACTACTACTACTACTACTACTACGACTACTACGACTACGACTACGATGACGACTACTACTACTACTATTACTACTACTACTACTACGACTACTACTACTACTACTACTACTACTACTACTACTACTACGACTATTACTACTACTACGACGACTACTACTACTACTACTACTACTGCATACGACATACGTCTACTACTACTACTACTACTACTACTACTACTACTACTACTACTACTACTACTACTACTACTACTACTATTACTATTACTACTTCGACTGCTACTACTACTGCTACTGATGCTACTGCTTTCATTCCCATTATCACAACTACTACTACTCCTGCTACTACTACTTCTACTACTACTACTACTGCGACAATGGCTACTACTGCGACTACTATTACTACTACTACGTTTACTACTACTACTACTACTACTACTACTACTACTACTACTACTACTACTATGACATACTACTGCTATGACTAAGACGACGACTACTACTACTACTACTGCTTTTGCTGCGGCTACTACTTCTAATACCACTACCACTACTTCTAATATTACTACTACTATTACTATTTCTACTGCTACTACTACTGTTGCTGCTACTACTACTACTACTACTACATCAACTACTACTTTTCTACTACTACTACTACTACTACTACTTCTACTACTACTACTACTACTACTACTACTACTACTACTACTACTACTACTACTTTTACCCTGTACAACTACCACTACTACCACTACTACCAGCCTTACGACAACTACTACTACTGCTACTGTTACGGTTGTTGTTAGTGTTTGAATTACAGGTACTATTATTTTTTCTAGTACCACTGCTACTATTATTGACCACGACTGCTTGCATTAACATTATGCTTGCATCCGTGTTATTATGACAACTGCAGCTGCGACTACTTCTACGACTACTCTTGGTATTTCTTGAATTGAGACTGCTGGTACTACTACAACTACTACTAGTACTTCCATTTTTTCTGCAGCTACTACTACGAGCATTTCAACTACTGTTCCACCTACGACTGCAAGTGCCATCGCTACGACGACGCCGGCTATGACTTTTACTACCACTGCTACTACTGCTGCTACTACTACTACTACTGCGGCTAATACTACTGCCATAACTACTCTACGACTACTCCTAGTACTTCTACTACTTCTACTGCTACTACCACGACTACTACTACTACCACTACCACTACTACTTCTACTACTACTGCTGCTACGACTACCACGACTACTACTACTACTACTACTACTACTACTACTACTACTACGACTACAACTACTACTACTACGACTACTACTACTACTACGACTACTACTACTACTACTACTACTACTACTACTACTACTACTAGTACTACGACTACTACCACTACTACCACTACTACTACTACTACTACTACTACTACTACTTCTACTACTACGACTACTACTACTACTACTACTACTACTACTACTACTACTACTACTACACTACTACTACTACTACTACTACTACTACTACACTACTACTACTACTACTACTACTACTACTACTACTACTACTACTACTACTACTACTACTACTACTACTACTACTTACTACTATTGCTACTACTTCTACTACCACTACCACTACCACCACTACCATCACTACTACTGTTACTAGTACTATTACTACTACTACTACTACTACTACACTACGACTACTACTACTACTACGACTACTACTACTACTACTACGACTACTACTACGACTACTACTACTACTACTACTACTACGTCTACTACTACTACTACTACTACTACTACTACTTCTACTACTACTACTACTACTACTACTACTACTGCATCTATTACGATTACTTTTACGATTCATTTCAACATTACTTTATATATAAGCACGACTACTACGACTACTACTACTACTGTTACTACTACTACTACTACTACTACTACTACTACTACTACTACTACTACTACTACTACTACTACTACTACTACTACTACTACTACTACTATTACGGGTACTGGTGGTATTACTACTCTTCGTATCACTACTACTACTACTACTACTACTACCACCACCACTACGTACTACTACTACTACTACTATTACTACTACTACTACTACTTCTACTACTACTACTACTACTACTACTACTACTACTACGACTACTACTACTACTACTACTACTACTACTACTACTACTACTACGACTACTACCACGACTCTTACGACTATTACGATTCTTACTACTACTAGGTTGGAGCACCAGTAGTATCAGTAGGAGTACAAGGTTGCCGCGGGCAGCTACTCGGCGAGAGCCCGGAGACCGCAGCCAGCGCACGGCTCGCGTGATTCCGCCACGGGCGATGGCCAGTCGAAAATTCGAGGAACCCAGCCAGCGTATGAGATGGCCACGAGGCCGCCGCGGGCGACGAATGGGCGAAATCCTAGGAAGCCTATCACTACTGCGAGAACGAAGACGCAGCCCCTTTGTGCAAACATTGTGTGTGTGCCTATTCGGTGCCACCCCGCAGGCCCCCAGCCCTCGCTCGGGGCCTGCCCGCCGCCCTCACCTCCCTGCCCTTGTGGCCGCTCTTCATCGTGCACCTGTTCGGGCCCCCCCCCCGCAAACCTCCAGCTCTCGCTCGGGGCTTGCCTCCTCCCGCAGCCGCCTGCGTCGGTTCCACGCCGGGTGGCGCTCTCAAGCCCATGCGTGGGGCCCGCCAGCGTTCCTGCCGTCTTGGCCGGTTGCCATCGTTGTCGCCCTTTCCGGGTGGGCCCCGTCACAGTAGGCTGGTCGTGCCGCCCGCTCGTGACCTCCGGGCCGCCACTCCCGCCCGCCTTGGGGTGCCCCGCCGCCCCCCTGCCTCTTGGGGCGCCGGCCTTCTGCAGGTTTGGTCCAGGCCCTGCCTGTGGCACCCCGCTAGTCCTTGCCGTGCTTCGCCGGCCCGGCGACACTCGCTACGTTGCTTGTGTGCCCCCCCCATCTGCTTTGTTTTCTGTCCAGCTGTGTCTGGCCGCTGTTGCTCCATGGCACCTCGCCGATGCAGGTTACTGCCCAGTTGGCTCTCTGCTTCAGGGCCACCTCGTTCGCCCCTTTGGCCCGCCGCTCCCCCGCCGGGCGTGGCACTCCTGCTCGCTGCCGTCGCGCTTCTCCCCTGTTCTGCCTGCTCTGGGCCCGCCGCTCCCCCACTTGTCGTGGCCCTGCTCCTTTTCTTTGCCCTGGCTGCCGCGCCGTTGCGCCCCGCCGGGCCGTCCCTCCTTCCGCGGCTGGATTCCTTGTCTGCCTGGTCTCGGCGCTCCCCACCGTTGCCGACGTCGGGGTGCCTCCCCGTCGGCGCGGGTCGAGGCTCTGGGCGCTCGTCTTTCTCCCCCTACCGGCGCCTTTCTTGGGCGCTCCCGTGCTACTCTGTACCGCTCAGGGCTGCGCGGTGCCACCGCCTGCCTTCCGCCCCTCCCTGCCCGCGCTTCGCAGGCCCGCAGGTCTCTTCGCTTCGGTTCATCCCGGGACTGTGCCTTGGTCCACTGGGCTGGGCACCGCCTCTTTGGCTTTCCATCCTCAGCTACTGTTCAGTGCCGCTCGGCACCAGCTTCAGCCCTGCTCTGCTCAGTGCTGCTCAGTACCGGCCCTTGTGCCTGCTTGCGGCGCGGCGCCCGCAGCTGGGGCTGATCAGTCATGGCAATCGCCTTCCTCTTTCGCACGCGCCTCTCAGGCCCGCAGGTCTCGGCGCACTGGCTCATCCCTGGACTGTGCTCGGTCCACTGGGTCGGGCTCTGCTTCGATTTTGTTTCCCACCACCAGCTGCAGCTCCTGGCTGCCTCCCCCAGCTTCAGCTCAGTGCAGCCCAGTGCAGGCCTGTTCCGACGCTGCTCCCCCCCTCGGTGCTCTCCCCGCCGCAGCCGGCAGCTCTGAGTGGCCTGGCTCCCTATCTTCCTGTCGCGCCGGGGTTCCTCTTCCTCCTCCTTGCATCGCGGCCCTAATTTGCATACAGCGTGTCCCCTGTTGCATTTCCGCTTTAGCAGTCGCCCTCCAGCCGCCGACGCAAAAAGCGTGTGTGTGTGTTTGTGTGTGTGAGTTTGTGTTTGTGTTTGTGTTTGTGTCTGCGTTGTGGTTGTGGTTGTGGTTGTGGTTGTGGTTGTGGTTGTGGTTGTGTTTGTGTGTGGACCCCTGCTTGGTAGTGGCCATCCTGCGCCCTGGGACGGTGCATAGATCCTCTAGGTCTCGGCCAGGAGGGAGCGTGCCCCAAGCCAGGGCCCACGATCAGCTCCAGGATGGTGCACAAACCCCGCTGGCCTCGGCCAGGAGGGCTCGTGCACCATGCCAGGGCCCAGGGCTTTCCCTGGCCAAGCACGGTGGCGGTGGAGGTGCGCGCTCTCCGTATGCGTGCTGCCCCCCCCCCAGGCGGCAAGGCGGCGGGCGGAGGCGCCAAGGCGGCCGGCAGACCCCTCCAAACATCTGGCGCCACGACACAGTCGACTATACTTAAGAGTGACCTTTCGCCAGAGTGACCTTTGGTGCGGGCTCATCGGGCTCCCCCCGATCGCCGAGCGCGATGCGATACAAGCGGCCCGCGCCCTTGGGTTTGGCTCCCTCGCGCCCCCAAAAGCTGCGCACCAAAGGTCACTCTTACCCAGGGTCACTCTTACGGCTAGCCGACACAGGGCAGACTAGGGGGATAGAGGGATGGGGGGCGGCTTTCGAGAAGCACCCTGCTTCCTAGAAGGCACAATACGTATCCATAGATGTAGGGCTGGCTCCTTCTAAGATGCAGCCTCCTTCTAAGAAGCCTTCCCCCCTTTCCCTCACACCGTTCCCCCATCCCCATGTGCGCGCCGCCAAGGAAGGGAGGGGGGAATGCGCTGTACTAAATTTCGGGAGCTCTTGCCAGGACAGTCCCTTTGAGTGGTCAGGACTTGTGGGTCCACCTGGCGAAACAGACTATGACGTCGGATGGTTGGGGTCTGGTCATGGGCCCGTTTCAGGGCCTCGGCGTCCGTCGGAAAGCGGTCCAGGATGAACGAGATTGTCGGAGGCGCACGTGGGGAAGAAGATCGTGATGCGGAAGGTCTGGGCACAGCGGGCGCATCGAATATGAGACAAGCCTGAGGAGGGCGGCGCACGTGAGGGGGGCAGGGTGAGGTGGGCAGCCCTCTGAGAAGTCACGCCGCCTCTTGGAGGCCCTCCAGCCTTCCACTCCGGAGGGAGGCCTTCGTCGAAGCTTCCGCAAGGGCAGGAGCCGTCTAAGAGCCTCGCCCCTGCCCTTGAGGGCCCCAGAAAGCTCAGAAACGTACCGAATCCGGGGGTCCCCAGAAACCGTGTGGTGACGGACCGCGCGGCGACTTCGAAAGCCCAAGAGACCTCACCGCGCGGTCCGTCCCCGCACGGTCGTGGGTCCTGGGAGGCCCTAGTCGCCCGACACATCCTCGGAGAACAACCCGAGTTCAAAAATCGTGCGGCCACCCCAAATCCCCACCGACTCACCACACGGTGTGGTCATCACATCTTTTGGGGTTCCCCGACAAGCGAATCGAAACCTCGAGCGACTCATGCTAATGGGAGGGAATCTGGAGGTCCAAGGAAGCCTCCGGAAAAGCTGGAGGTGCCCGGGAGCCTGAAGAAGAGAGTTCCCGTAGGCCTACACCATGAGATCCAAGCATCGCCCCCAAAAAATGGCATCCCCGACCCCCAAAGTCGGCCCTCGACACCCCCGCGCAGGCCATCCACAGGGTGCCGCCAGGCCCCGTCTCTTGGAGGCCTCAGAAGGCCCAACAAGGGTGAGAATCAGCAGACAGATCCCCCAAGCACCGAACCTCCTGTGCCCAAGCTGATGTGTTCGGTCGACTCTTGGTCGTGGAGCTGCGGTCGCAGCAGCAGCTGTTCGAATACCCAGAGCTCCAGGTTGACCGAGCTAGACAGAGCATCTCTTGCGGGCCTCCCCGGAGAGAGACTGATCACGAGAGCATTGGCGAGCCGAGAAAAATCTGGTCTCAGAGCCCGCTTGCTCTGTTCGTGATTGTTGCTACCAGTCTTCGATCGGCGTCACCCCAAAATATATCAATATTGTGTATGCGTTATCCCCACAGAGGCGACGCGCGCGCTGAGAATTCGGACAGTTTCGGCTCCGTGCCAGGCACGTTCCAGCAAGACCGCTCGGGAAACCATATTTTACAGGACGGTTGCCTGATATGTTCGGGGCGGACGCACGCCTCCCAGACGGACATCTCGTACCAGTGTGTCCTGACGCGTCCAAGTCGGACCCCCCACAGAAGGCCGCCAAGAGGGCTTCGGGCGCCAGAGCCGCAGGCGACAGGGACGCCTCGACGTCGCCGCACCCCGAGGCACCGCCCCCCACGCGCGCCGCGATGTGAGAGAGGAGGATGTCATCGTCAATTATGGTTGTCGTCGTCTTCCTCCTCCACGGTCTGCCTGACCTCTTGACTCTCTCTGTATTGTCGATGATGATGAGGAGGATGAGCATGATGATGTTGATGCTGATGGCGATTAGGATGATGAAAATGATGATGCAGCTGACGATGATGATGTTGATGATTATGATGATGATTCTGATGATGGTGATTATGCTGATGGTGATTATGATGATGCGGATGATGCTGATGGCGGTGATGGTGACGCCCATGATGATGATGCTGCTGTTGATGATGATGATGATGCTGATGATGATGATGATGATGATGCTGATTGTGATGATGATGATGATCATGATGCAGATGATGGTGACGATGATGATGACGATGGTGATACTGATGATCCTCAGGAGTCACATTGAGCGACGCTGTGCTGCGGCGTTTGATCCTCATCCGTGTCGTCAACCCGCTTGTATTTTCAGCGATGTCTGGACGTGGGGGTTGTTCCACCATGGCACCGTCATCCTGCTTATCCCTCAGATTCTGCCAAGTGCAGTCTCGTTCGTCGCGGCAGGTGTTGTCCTTCCGACCTTCCGAGCCTCTTGGGGTTGCAGCCATGCTGGTCCTTGAGCGCCCCATGTGTTGGGCCCACCCAGCCTGTTCTTGCCGTGGGCGGCTCGGCCCTCGGCACGCGTCGACGTTGTGGACTGCCCGTGGTTCGGCGCCTCTGTTGGCGCGCTGGGCCTCGTGCGCTCCGACTGCGCCCTCCCGACGCTGGACCACCCGTGGGTTGTGTTCCAGCCTGTGGCGCTGGGATTATGTCAGGCGTGTCCCCCTACAGGGGGGCTTTCGACGAAAAATTAAAAGATCCTTCCCCGTCGGCCGCTGAAAGTAGGTATTTTGGAGGATTCCCAGGTTTCAATCTGCTTTAGGCGCCTTCCTACTTCGAGCGTCGAGCGTCTCACTTCTTCCCTCCTCTTCACGGGGCACGCGAAAGCCCAATCTATTTCCAACGCCTCCCTACTTCATGCTTTACCTACCTCTTCCAACCGACGTGTAAGCATAATGAGACTCGTGTTCCTCATAACCACAACACCAAGTCAGGTCCACGGTTCCAGGGATATCTCTAAACGTAGGGGCGGTGTCTTCTGGCACGTCTGCAGAGAAGACCCCTCATCCTTAATGTGTTTTGGCCCTCTCAGCTTAGGTCCCCTCCCAGAGAATCAGGGGTCCTCGCTTTGCTCAGCAGCCGAGGCCACTCCTCGGGCGACGAGGGCTGTGCCCGAGGACATAGAAAGAGGAAATAGAAATAGGGACCAGCTGGTGGCGACAGAAGTTCAGAAGGTCGGCGTGTCATACACGCCGGTCACTGAAGGTATGTATTTGGAGACTCCAAGACCCCAATCTATTTCAGGCGCCCTCCTACTTCAAGAGTCGGTATGCGTCTGCTGGACCAGCAGGTGGCGGCAGAAGTTCAGAAGGGCGGCGCGTCATGGTTCTTTCTCGTGCTGCGGGGAATCGGGCGGCGCCGCGCAGCAGCCGGGGGGGGGAGGTTCCTTGGTCGCCACCCGTTTTGGCCGACGGGCGCTCGGGCTCCTGTTCGAGCACTGGTGGCGGAAAGCCCCCGGAGGCGCTCCGAGCCCCGGAAAACGTGTGGAGGAGGAGGAAGAAAGAGGAGGAAAGAGGAGGAGGAGGAGGACCCGCTCGAGGTGCACGGGTGCCTCGTCCTTCCCCGGGGCGCTCGTAGGACGGTCTTGGCCTTCGGGCTCGACCGTACTTCGGGGGAAAAAAGCACGTGGGGAAAAACAACTCACCAAAAAAACGCAACATACAAAAACACGTGGGAACAAAACACACAAACACACGTGGGAAAAACACACACACAACATAAAAAAAACACGCGAAACATAAACACGTGGGACAAACACACATAACCCCAGGAAGCATTTAAGACCCCCCCCCCCCTCCGGCAAATCGATAACCCTTCCGCACCATCATCCATATCCGCATCATCATCATCATCATCATCATCATCATCATCATCATCATCATCATCATCATCATCATCATCATCATCATCATCATCGTGTCCGGGTGCTACAGCTATCGTTCGGTTATTTCGGGCCTTCGGAATATCGAATACAACAATGCGGTGCTACGATATGGCCGGGGGTTTTCTTAAATGCTTCCTGGGGTTACAACAACCACACAAAACACACAGACGTGCGTGTGTGTGTTTTTTCCCACAGACGTGTGTGTGTGTGTTTTCCCACATGTGTGTTCTTTCCGCACCGACAAGACCCCCACCCTGACACGTCGATTAGTGAATGGTCCGTTTTCGTTTCTCGAGAGGGCGTCGCGGCCGTCACTTGCCAGGCTTGCGCCCGCCAGGTTTGGGGCTTGAGGCCGCTTTCACTAAACCACGCTTGTGCTGAAGGTGGTCTTGTCCATCCCCGAGTACTGCTGGTGGAGGGTGGGCCCGAGGTGCTTTTGCGTCTCCCGCCCGCCGCTCCGCATCCTGCTGCCCCTCGGCTTCTGCTCGCTCGCTCCCTCGCTCGACTCCGACTCTCCCTCCAGCAGAAGTCTGACAGGCCTTTCGAGGACATGTCGGCGGGCTGCTTCTCGTCGCTCTTAATGAGCATCTCTTCGAGCTCCATCGCCAAGGTGGATCCCAGCTGGAGTCCCGTGCCCGTCAGCAGTTTGACAGCGCCCCTGCTGGGGAGGGGAGAGGTGAGCCGCCGCAGCTCCTCCCCCCGCCCGCCGCATTCGGTTGGCCTGCTCGGCGGCCTACTGCACCAGCGGCTGCCCAGAGCCAGAGGCTCACTTCTTCCTGCCGTCCGAGTCTGGCGCTGCTGTTCGATGCGCGGCCGGGGCGCCGCGGGCTCCCTCCCACCCACCGCATGGCTGCCCAAAGTGGAACGTTTATTTATGAAGGCGCACACGGGATCGCGGTAGATCCCAGTCATGGTCTGCGCCTGCCACGGCGCCCCTCTGAAAGGAATGCGAAGTACCTCTGAGCGTTGGCTCCGGCCCGCTGTGCCACGTCCGAGTGCCGGGGCCAGATCATGGTTCGAAGTTTGGTAAGGGCTTGAGCCAAAACGGCAACGGAGAGGGGGGGCAGGAGAGGGGAGGTGGACAAGGTAGGCGCGTTCGCGCCATACCTGACATTCTACTCCTCCCGCCCATTGTTTTGCGTTGCGCCGATACTTGCTCTATCGGCTGGAGGGTGTCATGGAGGATACGGGAAGGAGGAGGAGGAGGAGGAAGCGAAGGAGGGTGAGGAGGAGGAGGCGCAGGATCGGAGGATGAGAAGGAGGCGGAGGGGGAGTAGGAGGGGGAGGAGGAAGGGGAGGAGGAGGGTGAGGTGACTTAGATGGCAGGAGGAGGAGGAGGAGGAGGAGGAGGAGGAGGAGGAGGAGGAGGAGGAGGAGGAGGAGGAAGGGGACGAGGACGATCATGAAGGACCAGGAAGAAGAGGGAGGAGCTCGTTCCGCGGGATGTCCTTTCTGATTTGGCTCGGCACGGGCCTCCAGAGGCCCAAACAGTGTGGGGAGCGAGAGGCCATCCAGAAATGTCGGCCCTTCTCTTCAGTGCCCCCCAGCAGCGGCGTCGGGGAGGACTGCAGCATAACAAATTGGTGTGCCCGCAGGGGCCCCACGGACGCTGCTGATTCCTCGAGGTCCCCCGGCGCCCGTTCTAGTCCTCGAGGCATCCCGCGGTCGAATGGTCGACCGAACGCTGTGCCAATTGGCTTCTCATTGCAAGAGCTCTTAACGAATGTATCGATTGCACTGCGGAAGACGACGGCGCCTCGACGACGACGATGACGGCGGCGGCGGCGGCGAGAGGCCCCCCTCCGCAAGGACCGCGGTGGCAGCCCCAGCGCCGAGGCGGCGGCGCCGGTCATGTTGAACGCCCGCGGGGAGCCGGTGGTCGTGGCGCCGAGCGGAGGCAGGCTGCGGGCGTTGTCGCTCAGGCCGCCGAGGCGGGCGCCACCGGGTGGCGTTTAAAGTCGGGCAAGGTATAGCGGCCTGGCTGAACTCGACGGGGCGACTCTCGACCAGGCTGGACTCGGCCCGCTGGCCTCGGCAAGAAAGCTCGGCCAATCTGGATTCGGCCCTGGGCGACTTCGGCCTGGCCGAGTTCAGCTGGCCGAGTTCGGCCTGGCCGAGCTTCGCCTGGCCGAGGCTTTCGCTTGTCATGAGGCGGCGCCGACGACGATGACGACCACCGCCATGAACGGCGCCGACGACGACCACCACCACGAACGGTACTGACGACCACGACCACCGCGAAAGGCGCCGACGACCAACACCACCGACGCTGCTCGGGCGAAGCTTTCGGCCTCTCCTGGGTCCTCTCCCGGCCCTGAGAACGGCAGCAAGCTACCAGGGATGACGTAGTTGTGCCAGAGACTCCTGGGGTCCAGGACCCGTTTACGTCAGGACGTCTGAGGGCGGCCCGCGGCGACGATCATGTTCACTCCCGTCACGACGATGGCCACGACGACCGCGGTTGCGACGACCACGACGACCACACGACAACCACGACCACGACTACCTCGACGACGACGACGACGCCAGGCTGGCTCGAAGGGTAGACGAAGGAGTGGAGCGCGCTCGCAACGCTGGTATGGTCAGGTGGCGCGTTCCATGCCCAATTGGTTCATCAAAACACAAAAAACAAAACTCAAGGAATGGGTCATAGAAGCTGAAGAAAATTTAATGGGGCAGGCTGAAACCTAGAACAGCAGGTCCTGCCAGGCCTGTACGTCCGGCTGCTGTCTCCTCCACTTGTGCCCCCTGGGGCCCTGCGGAGGTTGAGAGATGAGAGGGGCGTGTGGTGGGTCCTGTCCCCACGGCGCCACTCGTTGACGAAGCTTCTCGGCGCGGATGCGTCGAGCCGCCGCCTTGTTGGCCGCAGTCCTGGCCCTCTGGGAGGAGGAAAAGGGGAAATGGATAGGGCGAACAGGCGGAGCGGACTGGACAGGGGGGGCGAAGGGACCAAGAGCCAAGATGGTGCTTGCTCTTCCGGGGAGCCGAGCAGGACATCTGCTACCTTCTGCTCCGCGAGATCCGGCTCACAGGGAACCTCGGGAACTGGGGGGCCTGGCTTGCACTCGTCGCTGTCCGGGGACTCGAACCGAAATTTCTTTGGATCCAGCGTCCACTTCTCGCACCTGGAGCCACGACCACACCGAGCGAAGTCTGGGGCAGGGGCGGGGGGATCGGGACACTTCTCTCCAGGGCGACATACAAATCCATAAACCTCTCACGGATCTGCACAATCCCGAAAACATTTTCACAAAGGCGCACCAGCAGAAACTTGCACCTCACAATCAAAGAAAGAACAGATAATGTCAAATACCGGAGGCTAGATCCTTGCAAAAGGCCGCTGGGGTAGGCTTTCTTAGAGGCCGTACGATAGACACCGTCAGGGAGTTGTCCGGGGAGAGGTTGGTGAGCGCCTCTGCCGTGGGAACACCTGTCCCCCCACTGGTCTCGCAGAGACGATTGGGCAAATAGGGCATACGCACAGAGAGTTTACATCGGGCATGTTCAACAGTGGACGGGCAATCTGAATTATCTTGATGTTTGCAGTGGTCGAATTCCGTAATACGAGCGCAGGGGGTCAGCAGCAAGAGTCTGCATGGGGCCCCAACGGAAGGAGGTGGGCCCCCAGGGATCCTCAGAGCGGATGTTGGGTACTGAAGCCAAACCCCAATGCCACCCCGGAGGTTCTCAGGTGAAATCCAAGCCAAAGCGAACCCGAGCATCGAACCGCTTCTCACTTGCTCACATTGCCCCCTCAAAATCTACAGCATATCCCAAACATCTGTCATAGACCTGAGGGGGGGAGGACCGGCTTCGTGCCACCTGGCGGCAGACCAGGTTTCACAACGTGTCCCTGTCCCTGTGTTGACAACACGATGACTTCTCACGTGCTCAAACCACTCCAACTTGGTGCTCTCTCTAGTAGTGCACCCGAGGATATATCTCAGAGCAATGTCCCCGCTGAGCACGATGAATTCAGCGTTCGCGTGGGTAAGAGACATCCCATGTGTCACTGCACGCCCATTCTCCGCCGATGGTCACGCAAGAGGCTCAACACAACAATGTGCTGCGAGGCGTTCGCATCGGAATCTGCGCGGCCGCCCCTCCTGTGCACCCGGATAGATTGTAGACGGAAGCGGGCGCTTCCTCTCTCAGAGGCTCGGGGAGCGGGGCCCTTGGCAAACCTAGCGCGGACGTCCTCTCGCTTGTCGGTTTCAGCAGCACGGACACATTCCAGCAACACGGTTTGCGCCTCATCCGGTGGAGGTGAGAGCGAGATTCCCTTCGCAGGCGATCGAACACATGGAGCCCGACCAAAGGATTTGCCGGTGGAGAGTCGAAGCCCCTCCTCAGCGTTGAGTTTCCCGGCTTTGTCCCAAGAACAAAAACAACCTCCGACGTACTTGCCAATGGAGACCATCCCAGAAAGTCCTGAGCCCACAGGGAGCCCATTTTCGGGAATACTCAGATACATGCTTCCCGCTGGGGGCAACCCGACGCAGGAGTATGTATTAGCATGGAGCCCACAGGGCAGTCATGCTGTAGGGGGCTGACGACCGAAAGCGGCGATACCCCAGCTATGCAATTTTGTCTGGAGTGCCCATTGAACCAAAGCAAATCCCACGGCACATCGAGGCGAATCGAAAGCAAGATGCGATTTCAAAGCCTAGCAGTGAGCGAATCATTGGCAGCAGGCGCAGCACGATTGGCAGGCCCCCTGGACACCTATAGGCCCTGGCGTGATTGAGCCGAATGCGTGAGCACGAAGGCCACGAGCCTTGTCAAAGGACGCAGAGCAGCACATGCACTGCCAAACTTGGGCACCCTCAGCGTCGCACGGACGGCGAGGATGAGATTGGCTGCCCCACGCACGTGGGACATCTGCTGCATGCAACACTTCGCATATATCTCGTTCGGCCGCCCGCGCAGGTGAAGCTATCAGGATATATCGGGTGGGAGACTCGAGCCGAGCTCTGGCCGTGCGCTTCCACGCTGCAGGCGAATGCCTGGCCCCTTTCGCCCTTGTGCGTAGGTCTAAGTCTTGTTCTGGCAGAGGGAGTTGCTCGGGGTGCCTCAGATGCCGCTGGGGCCGTTGGAGGCCCGCGAGAACCATGTGAGCCTGAGACTCTGATCGCCCCCTGGCGGTCATCCCAGTGCCGTAAGCATTGCAAGATTGTTGACCGTTTTGCCGTATAGGCCTGCAATTGCCCGATAGCGCTTGGGCAGGCCGCCCTGCCCCCGACGTTGAGCGACAGCAAGGGCCCCCCAACCAGGGGGCCCAAGGAAACCTCAGCAGTCTCAGTGGAATTATTCGCCTAATGATTGAAAATCCGATTCCTCAAGGCCGTCCAGGCCACGTGGCAGCCGCGTTGGCGGCGCTCAAGCTCTGGCCCCACGATGCCCGTCACTTCGCGCATAGCCCGCAGGAGCGCATGCTGTTGCACGCGGTGAAGAATGACAATGCCCACCGACCACGCGCGTGCCTGAACGCCGCTGCATGCGTTGACGACCAGGGCGCGCTGGGGACGCCCGGCCACCCGAGCACCAGGGCCACGCATTTGGAATCGAAATGCGGACTTCCCAGGCCTAGCGTTGGTTTGAAGGCCACGTAGGTTGAGCGACTCAATGACCGAAGCAGTGATGAAAGGGGGCGTGGGTTGGGAGAACTTGAGGCTTGGCCCGCGACATTGAGGTGCGTGCCGACGAAGAGAGGACTGCCCATCGAGTAGCACCTGTGCCCTGGGGCCTCTGCCGCGCCGGCTTGATACTCTACCGGCGGAGACGCAGAGCTCGCGGCGACTCTGAGCTGGGCCCCTCGCTCCAGCAGCCTAGTCTGTGCATGCGACATAGTCTTGGCCACAGTGAAGTCGTGCATCACGCCCCCCAACTGTCGCCCGGTCCCAAAGCCAAGGAGGGGGCGGCCGCGCTATCCTCATTTGGGCAGAAGACCACGAGTCCTCATATTTGTCCGAAAACTGACCCTCCTTCAGTCGGGAACTGCGGCCTCCTCCACGATGGGAATTCGAGGCCTCGCGAGAACTGCCAGCTCTTGGGCAGTGTCTGGGGGCAGCCCGCCAGCGCGCAGTAGCTCGACCAAGAACTCGTCGTCGCACGCGGTGCGAAAAACGAGTCCTCGCACAGACATCTAAAAGGCCTGCGCGGCATCGATGAAAACGATGAGTACGCTATGGCCACCGGCGGTGCCGAGTTGTTAGAAAGCTAGAACGCTCGCATCTGCAGCGCAGAGGATTTGGCGCCACGACGGGTTAGCCGCGGAAGTGCCCATCACGGGAAATTTCCTAGACGGCAGCGGCCGCGCTCCCTCGGTCTATGGACCTATGCCCTTTTCCCGACCTGCGAGGATCCCATGGTCGACCGATGGGTCTCGACCTCCAATGGGCCCCAGCCCTGAACCAACTTCAGTAAACAAGTCCTTTCCACAGGATAGCTTCGTAGACACGAACAGCGGTTTCATGCGCGAGAGAAAGGGCGAACCTGCCCAAGAAAGCAGCGAATCGCATGGCAATAGCCCCAGGGGCACCATCTGGACCAGGGGCCGACGTCAAAGCTGCCGAGCAAGGATTGACGCACCCGACGTAAGGTGGGATTTTCGCGCAGTTCAATGCCGAAGCAACTGGCCCTTGCATGCATCTGCCAGGCCGGGGGGGCTAGACGGGCACCGGAGATGGTCGCGCGCGTGGGCCAGTGGAGTTGTTCCCCCCCGTGAGCGCGTCGAAGTCAGCGCTGGGCGACGTCGACGACGACGCGGAAGGGGCAAGCCGTCGACGCCGCGCGAGATCGGGAGCGGACGGGCGGGGTTGCCAGTCAAGCGAACAAGCGCCCATCGCCCAAAGTTTAGCAAACGCGCCATTGGAGTTCTTGCGCGGCCGGGCGGACGCCGCCAGACCACGTCGTTCTTCAGCGTGGCCCC